CGTCCGTTTTATTTGGTCAGTACATCAACGGACTCCCAACGGATAAACATTTTATCAACGGAAAACTTTATTTTCATCCGTTCGGCGTCCGTTCGAGCAATCCGTTAAGGTGTGACCACAGCTTAAACACGTTAATTATGAGCTATGAAAGTCAAGAAGTTCGTGCATTTTCCTAGAGTAGGTTTAACAAGATTTCAAACAAATCTAATTTTATAAATTTAATAGATCTTAGTATTTATAAGTGGTTTATCAAAGACATTTATGTATACCTATAATTTCATTTATTTGTTTTGAAACGTTTAAAATTATTAAATACATATATGAAGAACCTTTCAAAATTTTATTAAAATTATTTAGTTACATAGTAAGTTACTTTTGAAACCGACCATGCAAGACCCCAATGGGTAGACAAAGTCGGTGAAAACCCCTCTCGGTGGTACGATACTTAGTTTGATAAGGCAATCTACTGTGAGAATACAGATAGTGCATCTGCTTCAAATTAATTCTGATCCTGGAATTGGTTATTTCTACAGCCGTATTATGGCTATACAATATATAAAAGTAATCTGTATTCTTTTAATTTGAAGTAAAATATTCAGGTGAATAACACATGTTTCATTCTGCTGCCAAGAATACACTGTTTTAAGTTGTTGTCCGCAGCATATAACCTCCAACAGCATTTATCCTGCTACTTGTAAAAGTATTTATTGTTTTAATATAGTGTATATAATAATGTCAGAATTCAAATGAAGCAGACATATTGTCTTAATTTATCTACATTACTTGATTCCCTAAAGACAAATACATGTCTGAAGCGTAACAACCCTAAACACAAACACACACAAGATATGTATACGCACAAACACACACAAGATATGCATACGCACAAACACAAAAACAGAACACCATAACCACAACTTTATTCCAGAAACTTCAAACTTATGTCAAATGCTTTAGTGAGAAATTATGATTTGAACCTACATAAAACATTTTAACTTTTTTGAAAAAGACTATAAATGAAAACCGAATTATATTATCTCTCCATTGGGAAAATTAATCAGAGTTATTTTACATTAATTACAGAGAGGGCTAGCAAACAATTTTTAATTAGAGCTTCATTAACGTTAAAACAATTTTCCCCTAAAAATGAATGTTACTTTATTCAAATATAAGGACTTACATGTAGTTAGCCAAATTTACTAATTTTATTTGATATTATGAATTTTTATGACATGAGATAAACATGCTACATTATGCAACCCCAAATTTGAAATGATACGTGTAAACGTGTTCAATTTGATGCTGTGATGACATCAATTTGAAGTTTTATCTAAAGTAAACACGAAAACAGAATATTATATAGTATGAATTAGCTTAAGTTAATGTATGTACATGCATCATATCTTTAGTTTTTTAAACTTGATGTCTTTACATTTCTTTCAGAAAAACAGTTCGAAAAGTATAATGGACATTGCTATTACTTCGGGGAAGATAAACTTAGCTGGTCTAACGCACAGGTATCATGATTCAATTAGTATATTTGCAAAACATATGTATAATGCTTTCCTGTGAACTACACTTGTCTTTTCCTATTTTTTATATCCAACGCCAAGAAATGGCGAAGGTATCAAGTTTTTGACACATCCGTCTGTAGTTATCAAGTATTGTTTCCGGATGCTACCTCAAATAATATATATCGGATTTCAACTTTATTTGAATATATAGTCAACTTGACATCAAAAGAGGAAGATTCATATTAGTTTTGAGGTAGGTAACTCAAGGGTCAGGTTTTTTTTTATTTTCTTTGTTGACATATTTGTTTGTTTTTAAAGTGATTAAGATAATGACACAATGTTGACTGCTGTACCCCTTTTTTGACATTTATACTGATTATTGTTTTGTTCACACATTGTTTCAATGTAATGGAATTTTATGAGACTCTCATACAAGTGAGAGGTTTAGCTAGCTATAAAACCAGGTTTAATCCATCATTTTCTAGATAAGGAAATGACTGTACCAAGTCAGAAATATGTTTTCCATTCGTTTGATGTGTTTGAGCATTATAATTTTTCCATTTGATAAAGAACTTTCCTCTTTGAATTTTCCTTGGAGTGCGGTATTTTTGTTATTTTACTTTTTTCATAGTTATTCAAATACACAGCAATTTGTGTAGAAAAGAGGTTTCCTGATGTTCAATCGTATACTGCATATGGGATTGAAACCTTACTTGGATATATGGTCTTATACAACAAAATGAAAATCCATATTGGTTTGAGTTTGTGTAAGACAATTTTACTGTCAAAAGTCATTGAACACGGCGGGACAGAATCATACCCTTACGGGTACAACGAAAACACTATCAAAGCTATTCCCCTTAAATTGCTAGCATGTGGTATGTGAAGTTGATAAAACGTAGCAGGGGTATACAGATTTTGACCCCTCCGTCTGTCAGTCAGTCTATGTCAGATCGAAACATTCCTAGATACAAATTTGAATGTCAGATATAATGGAAATAGATTGCTATGGATTTTTAGTATACTACTTCCAAACTTAATGTCAAAGAATCAAAAATAGACCAACATTTGTGCAAGTAAGTTCAGAATGCTCAATCAAATGCTGTATTTTTTTTAATTTCTACTCTGCCTTGCTATATGATAATATTATGAGAGGGTCATGTATATTGATTTTGAGGTCACTTTGTCTAAGAAAATGTCGTAGTAACTAAACATAGACCGTAAATTTGTGCATAAAATGGTTTGGTTTGTTACATCAAATATTTTCAATATACCCTTTTAAAAAAAAATCAACGGTTTTGCTTTTGTAAATTTAAAATCGATAGTAGTGGTTTTCGGTATATCTATGAAGAAAAATTCATACCCAACTATATCAGTCCCATTCAGGACCGATAACTCTGTCGATAAATATTGGTGGGTATACAACGTTAAAATGTATGCAATAAAATAACTTGTACACAAGTTAAAATTTCAATATTGTTTTTTTAGTGCCTGGATTTTGCTTAAAACATTGAATTAAAGAAATAAATGACAAAATCATATCCAATGATGTCTCGTTTTATTTTTTTATGAAATACAAAATCTAATAAATAAAAAATTTGAATTCAAGTATTTTTTTAAACAATTATCGTGAAACATTAATATTTGATTTTTTTTTTAAGCAAAAACCAACATATTGGAGAATTTTTCATAATATTCATATGTTTTTAAAGTTTTTTATAATATATATATATTTCTTCGGTAGTGTAACTGTTAACGGGAAAGAGAATTATATTATATTTGTCCATTTTAGAAAACTTGTGTATATCACTAAAACTAAACCCAGGAATTACATGTGTACACACGATGTTAATGTCACCTGTTTGGTTTGGCACGATTCCTTTACATTACCTGACAATTTCTTGTTATGTAACATTATAACTTAAATCTGAGTTAACCTGTTCGTATATTGGTCATATTGGTCATAGAAACGTTACAGGGACATTACCTTTATGTACAGAGCATTTATCTATTGTTGTGCTTTTTTTTTCTATCGAGACGAAAATATTTTGTGTTCTAAAAAGAATGTATTTTATTTTTCTATATAAAGATAAATTATGCAGAAAAAAAGGGAAAAAATCTTTTAAAAAATGAAAAAAAATCAGTGGTAACTTTTTTTTTCACTTCACACATTGAAATAATTTATTTTTTATCAAGAAATTTAGAAATCAAACGTATTAGAATATCAACGAAGAAAATAACAAAAACAGCACAAATTCAGCATGAAACAAACAAGATGCATAAAAAAAAAAAAAACCATGCGACACTTCCAAACATCCGCCATTTTGAAAAATCTCGAAAAATTCACTTTTTTATATCGATGTGGGACGTAATTTGCACTCGATTCAAACTGATTTGAGTAGAATATTTTGCCTGATATATGTTTTAATATTCTTAATCGAGTTATTTAGTCGACGGGGAAATGACGAGAAAAAGTACGATTTTTGCGAAACTCCGGGGACGTAATTTAATCAAAAATTAAACTGTTAATTTAGAAACAACATTGTTTGATAGAATTATGTTCTAATACCAAGGATATAGTTGCAAAACGGGTCAGATTAATAAGAAAATTGAACTTTATTGAAGCACTTATGCATTTTATTTGGGATAAAATGACACAAAATGGCGGCTCGCTACGTCACCATCATACTTAGTTGGATATGTTCATATATGTTTGACTGTAAGACGTAATGTTTTTCATGAAAAATATAATGGCCAGGCTGTAGCTATAATTACAAAATAGGAAAATTATTCAAGCTTTTCAAAGTTTGATTTTATTGATAAATGAACAGGTTAATATCATCTGGACGCTGTACTTTAGAAATATCACTTTTGATGTCACTATGACGTCATAAACATGTCGACATTGACCGTAAGTTCCATTTCACGCATATTATTGGTTAACATATATAGGAGTAAACGGTTTTAACCCAAAAAGATATTTTTTACACATTTACATGCACTTCGTAGCAAAATATCTATTTGGGGGATAAAGCTGTTGCTCATATCTAAACATAAATGACTGGATCTCAAAATGAGACGGTTTTGACAGTTTGTGCTGCTTTTGTATAAATGTAAAGTTTGAAACCGTTATGACAATATGTAAGACAAAATACAAAAATATAGATACCGATGTCCGGCATTTTTTGTCTTATGAACATCTGAAGAATGTTTTCTGGTAGGTTTAATAATACGTTAATGAACCAAAAAAGCCTTATCATACCTTCTGCTTTCACTGTTTATATCAACATGTTAGCAGTTAGTATTTTTTTCAGGATAAATAGCCTAAACGTATATAATCGCTTATCTTTAGAAGTACTCATTGTCTACCTGTTTCTTTAAAAAGCTAAAGAAGTAATCTATTCATTTAGCTGGTTGGATAAAATGTCTTGCGACACGTAAGGTTGACAAAAGACCAGGTTTTTTTTTTGTTTGACTGCTTGGAGTTCTATTTTACAGCGGAAGTGTCAACTTATTGGAGGAAATCTTGTAAAAATTGATGGCTCATCTGAAAACACTTGGTTGACTTCCAAAATCAACGGTAAGTTCTTTCATTGTGTATTCTGAGCTTAAAATAATAGAAAAAGGAATAGCGTACAATTATTAACGACTCAAAATCTGTACGCGTATTTAACAACCCTCCTCCCCACAAAAAAGCTTGCATTGGTATTGCTCATCTGAGTCACAGTGAGGACTTTTTAAAGACAAAATGCAAACCGATTACAATATATTCATTAACCATCACTTTAGTACACAATGTTCTAAAATAAACTGTTCACTTGCAGGAGTAGCAACCAGCTATTATTGGATTGGACTAATCGATCTAATAGAAGACGAATTTCGATGGACCATTGACCAGGAAATTTTAAGCTATAAGAACTTTGAAAGCTCACAACCAAATAACGAAGGAAATGAAGATTGTGTTGTTTTGAACTACAGTTCAGGATCATGGTACGACAAAACTTGTGGATATCAATATAAATACATATGTGAAAATGACTTCTGTAAGTGGTTTTCATATAAGATGAAAAAAAAAACATAATGACATAATTGTTTAAGGTCTACTTTTATTTTTTGTATTATTTTAATCAAAATCTTGTTTTTGAAATGGAAAAAAAAATAGTTTATTTAATAAGTTGTCTGGTTCGTTTATCTACATATATGGTAAGTCTTTCTTTACTGATTTTTATCGGGAAAGGACATAGATTACCTTTTCTGCACTTATTTGTACGTTCTAATAATCATTCTATGGAAAGTGCAAATCGAAAAAAAAAGTTTCTTATGTAGAGTAGCGATATTTTCATTTGTAAACGAGATGCATTGTGGGGACATCGCAGACGAATATCACATTTGTAAGAAAAAAAGATGATTTTTCGGTAGATATTTGTTTTGCTTTCTTTTTAAAGCAGGAGCATATGTAACAGAAAAAACGTCTGTATAACTTCCAATGCACAGTGAACATATAATGCCAAATATTTTGTATTTATACGAGAAAATAGGCTAATTGGATTAGATGAGACCTATTTGTACAAATACGTAGACAATCATATAGCAAAGACAGTGAAATGCACGTTCAATGTGTTCGATTGCATTTTAAGCCAGAATCACGTGTTATAAATTGATAATGCTATATTTTCTAAAATGAGTGCGATATTTTTCTTATAGAATAGCGATATGTTTTATTATGAAAAAATAATTAATGCTATACTTTTCTGATACGAAAACCATAACGACTACTTTGCAATATGCATTTCAAAAATAAAATTCGGAACCATTTATAGCTGACTGCGGTATGGATTTTGCTTATGTTGAAGGCCGTACGGTGACTTACAGTTGTTAACATCTTTATCATTTAGATGGAATATGCAAATTATGATCGCTGACACTGACATATCTTACATGAAATAAAAAGAGGAGACAGTATAATTGCCAATGAAACAAATATCCAAAGGAGTCCAAAATGATACGCATTTAAGTAATTATAGGCCTTCAACAATGAGAAAAGCCCATACTGTATACAGTCAGCTAAGAAATGACCTGACATAACAAAAATGGAAATGATTCAATATTTAGTTATGTTTAATTTATCAGAAACAAAATCATAGTCATAACCAATGAAAAGCACGTTTAAAAATCTTTCTAAGGTGTTAAAATGACATATATTCAAAGGATCAATATGTTTATATGGATCGTGTTTAAATGTACGAACTTTATAAACAACATAACCGCAAACATTAGGAAGGGATAAGAATTCTACAGGTACAGCAACACTTCAAAGCCAAAGCTTTGTATCTATAAAATAATTTAGTAAAAGGTTTTAATAAGTAACTTATGGTAACGATATTTCTGACTATATATTTCGTCATATGATAGTTTAAATTCAAAAAGGTGGATATGTTTTATACACTTCAATGGCTTAGTTTTACTATGAAACACGTGTACATAGAATTTCTTTTAAAAGAAAAGCATCTATTTTATCCAAATCTATAGAAATATACTGCTATCGAATTATTGTCATCCCGTACTCTAATTAACCAACAGCTTTTCCATATCAGTTTAAGGAAAGTGCGAATCGAGAAATTCGTTTCCTATGTGTAGTAGCGATATTTTCTTTTGTAAATGAGATGCATTGTGGGGAAATCTCAGACGAATGTTGACATTTGTAGGAATTAAAGAAAATTTATCGTAAAATACTTATTTATTCTTTTTAAAACATAGACATATTCAACAGGACAAACGTATTTACAACTTGCAATTATGTATTTTGAATATTTTATCCCAAGTATGTTGAATTTATACAAGCAAATATGCATTTGCATTAAATAGAACCTATTTGCACAATCTACAATTTGGAGGTTTCCAAATACTTCAACAATGATGTACCAAAGACAGTGGAATGGCTATTGAACGTTTTCCATTTCATTCTACGCCATAATAACTTGTAATGGGTTAGAAGTTTTATTTTTTTACTCATATGAATGCGACGTTTTTCTTATAGAATAGCGATATGCTTTTATTATGAAAAACTTTTCCTATTCGATATTTTTCTAATAGAAATGCGATACTTTTTTCATATGAAAAAAACTATACAATAATATGACACAATACATTAAAACAAAGTAGAACATCGACACTTATTCATGGCAGGTTCGATGGTACAGGCAAAATAAGTGAAATTTCGTATAGATGATGTACGTACATAATAAACCAATAATACGCTTTTATAAAGAAGCAGACACGATGTTCGATATCCCCTGCTCGTCGATCAATTTTGGGTTTTCAAATCAATACTGCACAGTATTTACCACCTTCCAACTTCCGATAAAAAAAAAACTGGCCAGTGTCAGACTTGAATAACAAAGTGTTGATAAAGATATATGTATCATTTGTCATATCTATAGGTAATTTTAATAGTTAAATACAATTGTTGATTTACAATGACAATACTTTATCATGCATTTATTATGCAACACATTCAAAGTCAAAAAAATATTACTGAAGTTGCAGGGCCAAATAATCTCCCTTGAAATGAGATAATGCTGTTACAACTGCATACCAAATAGCATTAACCTTTTGTAAATTGTTCTTTTTAAACTGACCTAATCAACAACTTTAACTTAAGCGATGCAAAACTTTCGCAGTCAATGAACCATCGTTCAGGGGGCGAGACCGTATGATATCAATAAAAATGTGTCAATGCCAATACAAATGCATATCAGATATCCATTGACTTATCGTTAGTGGTCCCTCTTTTAAAATAACTAACTAACGCGACCGGAAACTTCGTAGAGGCAAGACAAAATATCTATACTTACATTTGTTCGCCCTCGTTTTTCTGGGAAATCTATATTTGATGTAATGTTATTGCAATTTTATCTAATCATGCATGCAGAGGGGGGGGGGGGGGCTAATAACTGCATTCGATATGTTAAAATGTGAAAAGTAAGGACATAGTTTTGTAGTTGTTAACTAGAAAGCGTTTTTCTTTTCCATTACTTAATGAAGCTAGGGTCTCTATCTTGGATTTTGAAATAGCAGATAACAATCGGTCTACATTGTGCTAATTCCGACAGTAGCATGTAATTCATGTTTAAGACTTTTCATTTTGATATAGAAAATTAAGTATTTATCATATTTTACGGCTATCTTTTACAAAATATTTTTGTTTGATTCAATTTTTTTATACTTTGCAACATAAAAAGGGGAGATAACTCAGATAAACTAACTTTAATAATAGAATTTGTTATGAATTACCTATTTTATTATGTAGCAAGAAAACGAGTCAAGTGACCCCATTTTTTCTTTTAATTATCTGAAAGCATAGTATTTGAACTATCTTTTCATATCTTATCTTAAAATGATATGGTTTAATTTTGTTTTTATCACGCAAAATTAGGGTGTCTATGCATAATCTTAACAAACACTGACAATTTTGCACAACCTGTGGCATGAAAAAAAACCCGGTGACCCATGCTTTTTGTTATATATACGAAAAAAGCATGATATAAACTACATTTTGACAAATTATTAAAAAAATTATATGGATTTTAATTTTTAGGACTTTAACACTAATTTCTAAGCTAATGTAAAACATGATTCTAAACACTTTCTTCAATCTAAATATGTTCCGAATTCAAACATATTAAAAAAAAGTGCGCGAACAATGTACATGTATTTAGAGTTATGTTTAGGATTTAAACACCAGTTATACAGTTTACATGTACTAAGGATATCGGAAATGCATTTTTTGGACGTGTTCATATAGAAATTTGATAGATGCTATCTGTATAGGCAAATGCATAAAGGGCAGGTCCATAAAAACTGTCAAAATCAAACGCTATCAAAAAACGGAACAAGTGAAAAACATCTGCCATATAATTTTCATCTAATACAAATAAGTTTGAAGAATAATTGAGAATTTCGAAAGATGTCTCAAAAGTTCATTTTGACAGTAAGCAGTGGGCTAAAACTGCTACCTCACATTATATGAAATGTATAGTTACAATAAAAACATACCGCATCTACATTAAACAATATCGCATCTATAATAAAATAAATATCATCTAATTATTTATTTACAAAAGAAAAACGTAGCAGTACAATTTTTACAAGGACATAAACTTTTGCTATTACTTTGATATTGAGAATATTTCAGAACTTAATTTTTGTTAATTTCACACAAAACTCCTATAGCCAGCTGTTCTCGTCGTTTGCTATTTAAGGATGGAAATGAAAACATTGTATGAACATTTTGGTTTTATTTCAATTCATTTGGATTGTTATTATTAACCAGGACTCTTTCTTGTGAATTTACAATTAATAGCGTCCTTGCTTCAACAATGAGCAAAACCCATACCGCATAGTCAGCTATAAAAGGCCCCGAAATGACAAATGTAAAACAATTCAAACAAAAAATCTAACGCACTAGCTGATGTATGTACAAAACAATGAACAAAAACCAAATATCATATACAACAACAAAAAACAACCACTGAATTACAGGCTCCTGACTTTGGACAGGCACATACAGAATATAGCGAAGTTAAACATGTTTGAAGGCGCTTACCCTCATCCCAACCTCGAACAGTGATGTAACGGCACAACTCAAGAACAAACAATGCGAAATAATCAACAACAAAAAAGGTCAGAAACAGCAAAAAACGACAACCACTTCGTTAATTTGTGAGTAACACAAGATATTGTAACATATTGATTTAGAATCGTACAAACTACTTCACAATTATAGCTCCTCTAGAGCTCATAATTACAGATTAGATTTTATGGCAAATACAAATATTATAGTATTTGGTTTTCTTTTATAGGTTATTGAAGATAAGAAGTTGAATTATAAACAACGACAAAGGAAAATCTACGATATATACCAATATAGTAAAACGCTCGAATTAAAAGTGTCTGTTTGATTTACTATGAACAGTCACTTAAGGGACATCTACGATACATACCAATGCTATACTAGTAAAACATTTGAATTAAAATTGTCTGTTGAATTTGCTATAAAAAAAGTAAATAACAAAAAAAAAAAAAAACGAACTCCTAGGAAAAATCAAATCGAATAGTCACTTATCAAATGGCAAAATCAAAAGCTCAAACACATCAAACAAATGGGAAACAACTGTCATATGCCTGAATTGGTACAGACATTTCCTTATGTAGAAAATGTTGGATTAAACCTGGTTTTATAGCTATCTAAACCTCTCACTTGTATGATAGTCGCATAGAATTCCATTATATTGACAACAATGTGTGAACAAATCAAACAGACATAATACTAGGTAAAAAGGGGTTAACATTGTGTAATAATCTTAATCACTATAAAACAAACAAATATGTCAACAAAGAAAAACAAAATGGCATTGGGACACTGGATCCCTGTGATGTGTTTTGGTTGATTTTGGTCTCTAATGCGTGATTTTTTATTATTAATTGTTTTTGGCTTTTGGCTGGCTTTCGGTGAATGCGAGTGCTCACGGATCGTACTTTCGTGTTAGTCTTACCTGTTGGTACAATTTGTAATGTATTTTTGTTATTTAATGTTTATATATTTAGGGTTATATCTCGTCTCACTATTTTTAATATATACCACCTTTGGTTAGTGTTTAGTATGACAATATAAATTTTCACTACTGTTCTCGTACTGTGAACAACAAAATTATCTATTTTGTAAAAATTGTTTCCGTTCTCCATGTATACCTTACAACAAAGTTATTTTTGTTTGCCTGTGTACGTTGTTTTGTTTGGCGGCGTTTTGTCCGGGGTTGTGGTTGTCTTTCTGATGTTGTTTTACATCTAACCCCCTTGTTTTATTAATGTTGTAATTACATTGTGTCATGGATCTAATTTATTCGTTCAGTGTGTGTTCGCTTGTTTTTGTTAATATGTCTTTTGAATAAGTTGGGTCATTTCGGTTGGTGTTTTGTGGTGTGTCTTTCTGTGTCGTGGTGTTGCACTGTTGTTTCGGGTAGGGTGAAGGGTTGGCGCATGATGGGGCGTTTGGACCCGCTGCGTTTGCTTGCGCCTGTCCTGGGTCGGGAACCTGGTGTTCGGTGGTTGTCGTTTGTTGATGTGGTTTATGGGTGTTTCTCGTTTCTCGTTTTTTTATATAGATTAGACCGTTGGTTTTCCTGTTTAAATTGTTTTACACTAGTCATTTTTGGGGCCCGTTATAGCTTGCTGTTCGGTGTGAGCCAAGGCTCCGTGTTGAAGGCCGTACTTTGACTTATAATGGTTTACTTTTACAAATTGTGACTTGGATGGAGAGTTGTCTCATTGGCACTCATACCACATCTTCTTATATCTATATATACAAAGCACATAAGCAAAAATGAAAGACAAGAATATAAACAATCACTCATTAGTGTTTTACCGTATCTACATTTTGACAAACCCAATTTTCATAATGATGTTTGGTTTTACGTACCTTAAAGGTTATTTATGTATTTCCCTGTCCTGAGTGTTCTTACATTTATTTGTACTATATTCCTTCACGTGATGTTGTCATTTTAGCGGTATTTTTATCATTGCCATATAAGCGGGAGGTTTTGCTAGCCATTATACCAGGTTCAACCAATCATTTTCTTCTTAAAATGTCCTGTAGATACCAAGTCAATAATATGGCAGTTGTTATCAAATAGTGTCTATGTATGTTGGCGTTTGTTTTGTTGCAGTTCAATGTTTATGTTGTTCCTTTGTTTTCCTCTTATAGTTTTGGATTGTGACCCGGATTTGTTTTCGCTTAGTCGATTTATGGCTATTGAACAGCGGTATATTACTGTTGCCTTTATTTCTTTATTTGTGCGAGACATGACATATCAAAAAACTATTCTGTTCAGTTATATTGCTAGAACAGTATGAATTAAACATTCATACACTCGTACAACGAAAATTAAACGAAACATCAACACTTCAAGACTTTCGTTTTATCATGGTCAGAACTACTTGAAAAATCTCAACAGAATTGTATTTTTTGTATAATAGAGATGTAGACAAAGAAAGATAATCCACATTTGTCCCTTATCAATTCATTTTATAAAAAAATTTATAAAATTAGATTATCATTGGTAAATCATAGTCTTTTCCTTTAACAAGCATATCAAATAAAATGGCTTAAATATTTTAAAGCTGCACATAATGTGTCAAACATAAAAATGAAAAGATTTGAAAATAAAGAAACACATCGCTAGTGTAACTGGGTTTGTTTGTAACAGCTGTAGTTATGTTGATACATTGAATATCTTTCTTTTCTATTTTTTTCATCAAATCCACATGATTCCTTTACCTTCATTTGTGGCTTTCTATTATGAATATTGTGTGTAAAAATCCATAATGACACAAACAAATATATAGAACATATGACAACTGACATAGTTCGTGTCTTGGACAAGCACATGTATATGTATATGACATATGACAACTGACATAGTTCGTGTCTTGGACAAGCACATGTATATGTATATGACATATGACAACTGACATAGTTCCTGTCTTGGACACGCACACATATTTATATGACAAATGACAACTGATAGAGTTCGTTTCAAGGACAAGCATATATACACATGTATATGTATATGACATATGGCAACTCACGTAGTTCCTGTCTTGGACACGCACACATATGTATATGACAAATGACAACTGATAGAGTTCGTTTCAAGGACAAGCATATATATATATATGTATATGACATATGACAACTCACGTAGTTCCTGTCTTGGACACGCACACATATGTATATGACAAATGACAACTGACATAGTTCCTGGACAAGCACACGCATATGTATATGGCATATGACAACTGATAGAGTTCGTGTCGTGGACTAGCCCATATATATGTATATGACATATGTCAACTGATAGAGTTCGTGTTTTGGACAAGTTCGTGTATATGTATTTGACATATGACAACTGACGGAGTTCGTGTCTTGGACAAGCACATATATATGTATATGACAAGGTTCATGTATTTGACAAACACATGTATATGTATATGTATATGACAAATGACTATTGATGTAGTTCGTGTCTTGGACAAGCACATGAATATGAGGCGGGATTCAAACTCGACTGTCCCTAGTGCATGACAAACAAATACAATCACAATCAGCAATTAACTCTAAAAAAACGTAAAAGATTTAAAAAAAGTACGAATTAAACAATACCATGAATACTACTGTAAACTCAGAAATTATTGCTTGCACTTACTATTGCGAATGTTGAAGAATAGACAAAAATGCAAGATTAATTATTGCGATTTCATGAAAATCTGCATACAAATATAGGTTTCAGATATCAAAATGAGACTGAGTTATTATTATTGCGGTACTAACCCAGTCGCATTATTTGAAATAATAAAATGCTCGCAATAATTTCTGAATTTCGCAGTAAAAGCTCAGCTTGCTGATATATATCGATGATTCTATTATTTTCGTTGAGGATGTCATACAGAAAAACAATGCAGGAAAGTGCTATCTTGTGCAATTTTAAGAACGTTAACAAACGTTAGAAAATTTCTATGCAGAAAAACTGATACTTTTTCATGGTAGTTCTGTGGTTTATGTTTTGCATAGCAAGAATTGAGTAATAAAGTTGATCGAAATCTAATACTAGTATATAATTAATATAAAAAGTAGGCTTATTTTAACAAAAAGTCCTATATGTTCTATCAACAAGTAAGCTGTTCCTTCGAAAATTAAACGGACACCGTCACGAGTTGGTTAATCGTTATGGAATGTCTGTTTCACAGATGACGACGGATATGTTCCGATTGTCGTAACTACTATCCCGTCCTATTTCCCTCAAACGCGAGATACCGCATTAGACTAATTACCGGATTTGTTTTTACATGAGCAACATGAGCAACACGATGGGTGCCACATGTGGACCAGGATATGCTTACCCTGATATCACCTGATTAGGGGAGGGGGGGGGGGGGGGGGAGGAGGATTTTGAAAATAAATAACTCAGCCTTGATAATAACAAAAATAAATGGTTTGTTCTGGGGTAGTTTGAAAATGAATAATCTGACTTACGATGTATTGAAAATAAATAACTCGGCAGGCCTTTTAAGCCATTTTATAATAAATGCTATTCTTAAGTATGAGATGGCACCAGATTCTTCCAAAATTCGTCTTTTTCATACTTTTTCGGGAAAAACTTCCCAAATCTTTTAATGATACAATGTATAAATATTAATGTACTTGAAATGTCTGAAAATGAGTTTCATTTAACTTAAGGTATATTGTCTCAGGAACATTTACCTCCCTTTTATTACAGGGCTGTAACTTCATCAAGGCAAACGCCTCATGTAGGAAATTTCAAAAACAAAAGCTTGTCTTCATATCAAATTGTTTTCACGGCGAGTGTCTTGCAAAAAGCAAGTTCTGTTCACCCTCTGACGAAGCCCCCGTTTTTCGGGATCCATATTTCTCATTTATTTTTAGTTTTCAGTGTTATTTGTCTATTGTTTGTTGTTTTGTGTTTTATCTGTTCCCGGGTTTTTCATTTGTTCATTGATTGCCCTTCTTTATTCTCTTAGTGTTGCATTCCATTTGTAATTTTGTAATTTTGTTTTAAACTTGAGTTTTATTTTATTTAAGGACTTTTTATCTAATTTTACAAACTTCTTTAAATTGTATCCCAGTTAGGAACTACATCAAGTTGTAATTGAAATGTGTTATAAAAATTACCTGATAATCAGCCCCCTCTTAACTTAACTTGAAAAAAAACCAAATAATTGACAGGTATGAAAGATTTTCTGCAAGCCAAAACACCACTGAAAAAAACCAGCAGCCACATACTTAACTATGTGAATTACATTTTTTTGCTTTATCCTACATATTGGTCTTTTGATGTTGTCCCTAAAAACTAAAAGTCTTACACTGAATCTATATATTTTGCTTTGAGACCAAAATATAAACAGAACTTGTG